CCCCAAAACCCCAAAACCCCAAAACCCCTCTTTTATCAACAATAATTGATATAAATTTTTTTGTGGGAAATAAATACGAATGTGGAAAAAATTTCCGCCAACTGACTGGAGATCCATTGATCCCCTTGCTTTCAACTATTTCTCAACTCTGCTCCAGAGTAGGGTGAATATCTTCCTATATGGGATGAACGGGATTGGCAAAACCAAGTTTGCCAAGAAATGTCTGGATGTCAATAATATTCAGTACTGTTACGTAGATTGTTTTGAGTACTATAATGAAAAATTGATCTGCTACACCATCTCAAGCCAGCTAGGCCTGATGGATAAGTACATCAAGGACTCTAAGACCTTTGTTGCCCTCAAGGACAATCTCTTGACCTGGAAAGAGGATGAAATCAAGATAAAAAGTAAGTGGTCCACTCTTTCCTTTTATAGGCATCTCAAGTAAGTACAAAAAGAGACCAATTTACATTGTCCTTGATAATGTTGAGAGAATAATCTCTATTGAAAGAGTCAAGAAAAATCTGGAAAAGATCTTCATTGTAGCAGATATGGTGTGCCCTCTTCTTAGTATTCTAATCATCCACGATACTTACATTGAAGAAATCGATGCATTCAACAAATCATTATTCAATGAGTACAATTTCACCCCATTTGTACTCAACCCCATGGACCAAGAATCAATGAGAGCAGTCCTTAAAGAGAAGTACTTCTCTGGCGAAAACAACGATGGAGAAAAGGATAAATTCGACCCCTTCTTTAAGTACCTCTACTCCCAACTCTCCAAGCAGACAGTCAATCTCAAGAAGTGGCTGTTTATGACCAAGCTAATGTTCGAGTCCTACTGTGATTTCCAGCACAAAAGAAACGGTATGAACCTGTCTAGGTTCACAAGGATCCTTAAGCACGTCTGCACCCACTTCTACTCAAACGTCATCGACATTAAATCTATTGAAGAAGAGATAGAGAGGGAGAAGGAAGAGGAGAACCAAAGGAAGGCAGAGGATATACAGAAAGTAGACGCACATCTGGACCAAGAGAGCAAACCTATCTTTAGACCTCATAAAGTCACGTTCTTCGAAGAAATGAGACAGGGAAATAAAACTAGCTACACCTTTGTAGAAGCTATGATCTTACTCTCTGGGTTACTGGCAGCTCATAATAAAGAATCCAATGATGAAGCTAATTTTGGGCTGATAAGACCTACTAAGAAGAAGACTAATAGGAAGGTAAAGCAGACTACGGATATTGGGAAAATCACTTATCTCGAGCTTGGGAAGACAAAGAAATTCTCAATGGAAAGAATGCTGACAATCTTCCAGTATTTCCTGAGTTATTTCTGTGACACATCAGAGGAAGCGAAGATGTATCATCACTCTATAAACGTGTATTCGAAGATAAACACATTTGTGAGTGAGAATTTGTTTAAGAGATCTCAGGGAAGAAATGAAGACCCCTCTGCAATCTCTCTGAAGATCAACTATGACAAGCACTTTGTGGAGGAAGTCCTGAAGCAATTCCCAGAGATTAAGCTGTCTGAACATCTAGAAGGCAGATAAGAGATGGTGTTCAATTTGGCATTTAAAAGAGGGGTTTTGGGGTTTTGGGGTTTTGGGG